AATGCTTGAAATTGAGAGGTACTTTTGGATTTTTAAGTGATCTTCTATTTTAAGATGTTATTTCAGTTTTTTCTTTTCTTATTATAGTACTTTCAGCAGGCTGCTAAAGATGAGCTGTGCCGTCAAAACAACTTGTACATCCAGCCATATGCTTGCTATGAGCTTGGCTGTCTTCTATTAGACAATCCAGAGGTAATGGTATCACCTATTTTTAAGCTCTGTAAAAAAAAATATATATATATAATAAATGTGGTGCAGAATCAGCACAGCACTGTACAAGCAAGGAAACAAAGTTGATGGGTGAGAAGCTTAATATATCTGTTGGTAACACTGTAACACAATACTTAGTTGTTACTGGGTTTTATTTGTACATGAATTATTAGACTCTGGGATTCTTCAGAGTTGCTACATTCCTGATTCTGTAGCAGTAAGATAAACGTGTGCAAACCTTCTGTCTTTCTGTAGCTGTGATGTTTATGGACAGTCAGCACTGAAGCAAGAATTTGATGCACTGGAACAGGTTGCCCAAGGAGGCTGTGGATGCCCCATCCCTGGAGGCATTCAAGGCCAGGCTGGATGTGGCTCTGGGCAGCCTGGTCTGCTGGTTGGCCACCCTGCACATAGCAGGGGGTTGAAACTGGATGATCATTGTGGTCCTTTTCAACCCAGGCCATTGTATTATATGATTTTGATGAGCAAAGCACTGTATTTTGATTTATTGTTTATTCCTTCTCACCAACAAGTTTACACTTGTTGTAACTGCTGCTAAGTAGAAGGGTGGCAGGTAGTGAGGTTATCTGAAGGTTCTGAGAATTAGGAGCATTTTCTCTTTCCTTCTTGCTTTATATATAGCATTTGCACACAGTTAACAGGCTTCACGTTGTGTGTTTCAGGGCTGAATAAGCCTTGGCTTGTAGCTGCTGCTGAGAAGCTTTGGTAGATAGCACTTAGTGTGTGAAGGAAGCCACTTCTTGTGGCACTTGGTGAGGGAATAAATACTGCTTGTGTTACATGAGATGGGGTTGGGTGGGGAAAAGGAGCTAGAATTAGAGGTAAGTGGTGCTGTTTTTAGAAGATTGCACTCACTAGCTTGAGATATCGTGCAGTTCATATTTGAGAGCTCTGTAATGACTGTGAAAAAGATGGGAATAGAATTTTATAAATTATCATTACTAGAGAGGATAAGTGTATTGAAGACTATGCATATAGAAAGCACACTTCTGTTAAATGTATGTTACTTTGAAATGACTCATAATTATATGTTGGATCTGTCATACGATCTGATTCATCTTTGTTAAATTAACCCGGTTAGAACCATATTATGTGAGATTTTAGTATGGCTATGTCAATAATAAAAACTGTTTTGTAGATGTTATTTGTTTCTTATTTACTTGTAATACTTTAAATTAAAAAAGTACTCTATAATAAGAAATAATGCCTTGTTTTCAAGGTAGAGATGCTATTCTAGTCTGACTAGGCTGTATACTTGAGATACATGCTGCAACATTTGCAATGCAATTCTAATGCAGTGTCTTCTCCTTTTGCAGACCGTGCCAAGAGGCAAAACCTTACTTCTCCAAGCCAAGGTAAAAACTAAGGCACTTCACACTTACTGTTCACAGAGGAGGGTATCTGAGAAGTTGTGGTGATTTGATTTGTTGGTTGGTTGGTTGTTTTGTTTGTTTTGTCATTGTCCATCACCTTTAATCCACAATGCTAACTTTGTAGCTACATATTTATGTATATGAAGTGCATTTGTGTTTTGTAGATACGTATTTATAGGTCATTAGAGCTCACAATAGTGACCTCTGCTGGACTGTTATGATTTTGCCATATTTTTTGGCAAAGATTCAGCAGTAAAAGTTTGGAAAGTGCAGCTCTCTCCTTCATACATGTTCCTCTGGTCCCTGACTTTGGTCTTTGGTGTTGGGATCTTCCTTGAGCAATAAGACTTGCATAATTTTCCAGGTACTGTTAAACTGAATAGGATCCAAACAACACACTGAAAATTGAAGCTTTCTGCTCTGTTTGCCAACTTAGAACTTCTGTAAGCCAGAGATATGAATAGCAATATGGAATCTCCACTTCATCTCTTCAGTCTGTTTTGTAGCTTGACTTCTTAATCATTATTAGTGAAATTATTTTCATATCCTAAAATGAAGGAATCTAATATTTGCATGCTTTTTTTTTTTTAATTTCAGGAGGAATTTACAGGCTATGACTTTGAGAACAGATTGCACGTCCGCATCCATGCAGCCTTAGCTTCTCTAAGGGAAGTTGTTCCACAGTGACAAACAGGAAGTTGTGTTGTCCATTCCCACAGTTTCTGCACTTTAGGATGAAGCAGAAGAAAAAAAGCTGTTGGGAAGACCAGCTTTTCTTCTGGAAACCACTTGTGCCAGAGACACTTTCATCATGTGGTTAGGAGTTGGTATGGCTTAGTAAATACTACAATTTCAACTGAAAGTAAATCAACCAAGCAGAAGGTTAAGTGACCTTGCGTATTTTAACTCTTCACTTTTTAGTTTGTTTAAACCGAGGGGAACACAGTTATTCAGTGACTCATCAGGAGAGCCTAAATAAGCACACAGCTTACTTCAATGTTGGCAGATGGGATCTTTTTTTATTTGTAAAGTTTTAAAGCAGATCTAAATCTAAAATATGCTAAAGGGGGGGGTGTTTCTGTTTTGATTAGAATACGATAAAAGTAGTTGGTACAAATGTTGAAGAAGGGAATGGGCAGAACACTTATTTTCTTGAAGCATTACCAAAACACAAAAGAAGGAAAACCGTTTAGCCACAAAGAGCAGATCTTGCTGAATTTTAGAGTTTTATTTCAGTGAATTCATGATGAATAATTTGCCAATTTAAAACCTCCCATTCCCTTTCCGTTATTTGTTGCTTCCTTCTCAGCACGGCTCATACTTCTGATACAAATTCTATCAACACTTAAGATCTTGGCTTTTGGTACATTCCAGCCAAACACTTTTCTTTGCATGTAATCATAGTGAGGGCGATTTTCAATTTGCTCTTAATATTCTGACCAGTGCATTCAGATAAGTAGGCCACATAGAGTAATTTTACGTGTTTTCCATTGAAGCTGCTAAACCTTTATGGCAGTGACTTTTACAGCTATTAAACCAGACAAAACAGTACACCCACCACCCACCTCCAACCCTATTTTTGTAGTTTTACCAATGCTGTGCTATCTTAAGTCTCTACATGATATTCCAAATTTGTGGCGTTGACATTTGAAGTTGACTTACTGAAGACACTCTGAGAGCTTGAAACTTACACCGTGATCCCATATATGTATATTGTTTTTAATACTGGCCATCTGTATCCTTGTTTGTAGATTTTTAAAAAGCAAAACAAAAAAACACAAAAACATTTTGTCTGTAGCATCTCCCTATGTTGTATATTCAGTTAGTATCATTACCTAGAAGGTAACGAAGGTATGTATTTATTTATTTTTTTTAAAGAAACTTTTATCAGTGGAAATCTGACCAGGAAGTTAATTGAATTATGTTACTTTGCAAAGCCAAGAAAACTGGATATCTTCAAAAATAATTTTTGAAAAGCCTTATCTTTACTTTGGTCAGGTTGCCTTAAACAGTCCCTTAGCTTAAACGTTTTGCTTCTTTTTCTAACTTGTTGCAGAAGATGGTGCTGTGTTGCCAAGGTTTCATACCTTGCCCCACATAGAACCTTCATTGATTTGCTTTTGAGGTTGCATCTAAAGCAAGACTGACATGGAGGAGAAAAGTAATATTGGATTTGGTAGGCCAAAGGAAATTGGTTGCACTTCTAGAGCAGTTACACTCTTCTATTGCAGTTCCTGAAGGAGAAGAGAGATTTTATTTTTCTAAACTGTAGGTGTGTTGCAGATAGGATGCTGTCAGCTTTTCTATTCCACTTAATCAGTAATACTGAATCACAAAGGAGTGTTCAACCTTTTTTGAACTGGTCAATCCAAATAAGTATTGAATAGAGAACAATATATTGTGTCTGTATATACATAGTAAATTCTTAGAATCCAAATTATAATTTTCAAGAAATGTCTTCAGTATACTTGACATTTTATTTTGTCCTACCTTTTAATATTTTGTGTCAGGGACACAGTCCACTCTGGATAAATAGATAGAAACATTGCATTTAATGGCAAAATTCCTTTCAAACACACTGCTTAAGTATACCATGAGCCTAGGCTATTCAGAACACAAAGCACCTGCATGTGATTGGTGTCGGGATGTCTGAGGTCTACAAACGTTGGAGGTAGCTAGCAAATTGTAGTAAACTTGATTACAAGGCCTGTTCTGCTCACTGGGCCAAGAGGGAGTCCAAAAAGACACTATATATTCCTGTAAAGGTTTAACTCTGTGCAAGTTGCAGCTTTTCTGTGGATTTAGCAAATCATCACTGAAATGGAACCATTGGTTTCTGTAATTTTTTTCTCCCTCCGTAGGAGAATCTCCTGCTTTATAAATGTCACATTTGTTTTTTATGTTAGATTGTGCCTGTGATGAGAAAAATTTCAACTGTATTTTGTGCAAACCGATATGTTTTTATACTTTGGAACTCGGAGGCATGGTCTAATAGCAATAACAGAATATGCATCTTGCTAGTTGATATGTTAAGAATATCTTTACTGAGTCAGGTATTTTTTGTTGATGTTGATGCAGTTTTTATCTCAATATGACTCATTTCAAATAAATAACTAGAATTTATAGATGTCACAAAGTGGCATATTTATTGTGACGTACTGTAAATGTTGTTAATTTACAGAACTTGCACTTTTATATTTCTGAGTAAAATTAAAAGAAACGTGGACATGCGTTTTGTTCCCTGGCTCCTTGAATTTGTCTTTCAAACTGGTGGCTTCCTCAACAAGGTGGTGTTGAGCACTGGAAAAATTTCTGGGATGTCAAGTGACTGTAAGAAAGCTTTCTAGTCAGTAATTACCTCAGCTTCTGCTCTTCCAGTACAGTATCAGTCCCCTGGTGTAGAAAGTGAGTTATAAGTGTGATGTTGAGACCAACCACAGAACGAATGAGGTTTAACATACTTCTAAGAGAACCCAACACAGTTGTGTTTGTTGTATCCCTACACTTTGGAAAAATGCTTCTAAGTTACTCTAAAGCAAACCCTTTAATTTCTCCTGTCTCTGATTGTTTCCTATTCCTATAAAGCTATGCTTTATTCTGAAATAAAACTCCCCAAATGTGGTACTGAATTGTTTTCAGTTTACAGCAGTCTGGTTGTTTTCCCAACAACTGATCATGTTCTTGCTTCCAAACTGCACTGTAGCTATCTGAAACTTGAACAGTAAGTATTACGGTCATGTAGAGCTGTATGGGGTTTTACAAGGGTGATGTTAGAACTTTTCAGTGGAGTAAAAGCAGAGCGTCACATACAAAATTTGAATTCCTTTTCCAGCCATTATTAAATACTCATATTAACAGTGGTAGCAATCATTGCATGAAGAACTGTGCAGTCACAAAAACAGAAGATTAAAGCTAATATTACGAAGTTATATTTTTAGCTGTCTTTGAAGGGGATTGGGCAGCCACTGGCATCTGAATATGCATGAGCATGCTCGTCATTGGATCAGCAGAGGTTCTAGAGGCAGTCTGTAATGTCAGTGGTAGACTACACTGAGCTTTGGGAGTAAGCAGTACAGGTACACTGCCTCTACTTTGTCATCCTGACAGAGCTGTCAAACAAAACTCTGCTAATGAGAGTTTTTGTAGATGTTTATACAACATTGTCTTTCATCCTGATGTTTTGCAGTGAGTAGAAAAGACTTCAAAAACCAGCCTTCTGCGAGTCTTTTGAGATAAGGTGGGATTATACAAGGATACGAGTTCCACTTCAGGCTCTTTGGAGTTAAATACTGAGCTGCTCCTATTTCACTGCATTTTTATTTTTTTAACAAGTTTGGGTGCCCCAACTGGGACCCAGTGCAGGTCACCAGAGTAGGTGGTGTTGCTTCATGCTCCTGCTCAGATTCTTTGCCTTATCACCCAAGATTTTCACGACCTACTTAGTCCCTGTATTTTAACCAGTGTTTTAGCCACAGACAATTCTGTTTGTTTTCTTATTACACCAAACTTTTTGCTTGCCACTTTTTCCAAAATATTGTCTTGTCTTTTGATGTGACTTCTTCCAAGTTCCAGTGGTGTAGAGGAAGAAAGGGAGATTGCTAGACTCAGTTGAGCAAGAAACATTTGCGTAACACCCATCCCTGTTTCATTCAGATCAATGTGTAACATATTGGGGGAAAAAATAACTTCTAACCAGTGTGATTTATCTTCTGTAAATTGTACTTAATGAAGAGCTAATAACAAACTGATTTTTCTTCTGAGAAGCAGAAAGCTTGTCTGAGACCTTAAGTCACTGAACTTCTGTCTATCAATTAGTCTAGCTCACATAAGACTTTAACATTGTCTAGAAACTGTCACTTCTGCATCTGGGTCAAAGGCTGGTGGGACGAGGTAACTGTCTCCAGTTAGGCTGACAGGCTTTGCAGCGTTGGGCCCAAGGCCAGTGTGTTTTAGTAGATCAGCTGGTACTGTTCTTAAGATGGCTTCCAAAAATGGCATTCAAGTTCCAGTACAGTGAATGGGTTCCCAGCCAGTTTTTTTTTTTTTTTCCTGTGAGTTCCTATGCTGTGCTCTTGCATTTCAAACAGATGTGTTTGTTAGTGACTGAAGCTTTCATAAGTATTTAGGCTGGATTTTGCTTCTGCTTGGTGAGCTCTAATTATACTTTTCCCTGTTTTTATAATATCTGTATCTAAACATCTTGAAAGCTTTTATTGTGCTGTTTCACAGACCCAGGGTTCTGAGAGTTTTTGGAAGAAGCATGTCAATGGGTATGATGCATGAGAACTGTGACATCACACTCTGCTCAGCCCTGGGCAGGAGAGGCTGCAGTGGGAGCAGGTACCAGGGTGGTGTGGGGATGGCAGGTGTGCCCTGAGAACCCTTGCTTTAAGGTAATTGTCTTTTGTCATGTCATGGGGGAGGGAGAAGAGGTTGTTCTGGTGATGTTGGTGTTTTTTTGTCTGTTTTGGAAATAGGGTATTTTTTGAATTACCATTACGGTTTCCTAGCTTGCTGGCCATTCAGACTTCCTGCTACGTGAAAAGCCAGCGTGGGGGGTGTCACTGATTGGGTTCTTTAAGGGAAAGTGGCATTGGGGAGTATTGGAGAAAGGTTTGTGGTGGCCTAGGCCACTGCCATGGTGCTGCTGGAATCCCACAGGGATGTGCAGGTGCTCAGCTCAGGCATTTTCTTGCTGCAGATGAGAAGCTGTGAGCCGGCCTCAGAGTGTGACAATGGAGCCTCCAGACAATGTTCTGAGCTGCCTCAAGACTTTGCTTGAGGGTGTGAGCAGAGCTGTCATAAAACAGAAACCAGAAGACATTGCTGGGTTTTTAGCTTCCTATTTCCAAGAGTTCATTGACTTCCAAAAAGGTTTGTTCGTACCAATCCTTACCTGAATAGCATAAGCTCTCCGAGTGCATATCTAACTCCAGCTTAATTTGTGCTTCTGTTTTCAGAGAATCCAGATTTGCTTTTAACAGAAGTGGTTGAAAAATTTGATCTTAAGCAGGGTAAGATAATTGTTGTCTGTTCTCCTAGAGTATTTTCAGATGATGTTCCAACATGAGTGGTTGCAAGTAGTTTTCACTTATGTGGGCTGCATCTCAACTGTACCTAGACCTGTGAAAGAGGCACATAAGCTCTGTGCAGTGTGTGAGAACATAGCCACTGCTGCAGGGTTAGGAATACAGTTAAGGAGCCCATGATTTTGAAGTGGTACCAGTGCTTTCTGAGTTTTCTTTCGCCTTCCTAATAGGAAGCAACAAACTTCCTCTCGGGAAGCTTCATAAATGTGCTGTAGAACATCTGATTGACTAGGCTGAAATCAATCTTCACTTAAATGGAAACATGTGCTAATACATTGCCATTAGGTGTTTGTTTTCTGCCTTTTATTATTTATTTATTTATTTATTTAATTACTTTGCAGAAACTTGGAATGGGGAACTGGAAGAGAAGACATCAAATCATAATGAGGCTTTGCTTTTTACTGAGTCCCAGAGAAAGGAATCGTGTACTGACAGAGAGAGAGATGATCATCTTGAAGACGTCACTTCACGTAGCTCCAGAGTAACTCTGTGCCCATCACCAACCAGTTCTGTTCCAGAAAGCATGCACCCCACTGGACCTGATGGAGCTTTATCCCCTGAAGGATCTGAACTTGAGCATGTGCCTTCTGACCCTGCCCAGCTCCCTGCCCAGGTGGAAGATAGCAGTGGTTCTGTTTGTCTTGTGAGGGATGTGGCAACCACTGTGCAGACTCTTCAGGAAGATGTTTCTGCTGCCTCGGCAGCTGAGGCTTCTAGGTCACAACTAGGAGTGCAGCCTTTGTCTTCCATGAGTGGAGAACTAGGACCCTCCAACACCCAGGTCCTTGTTTTAACAACTGATACAAATCAGGTTTCCTCAGACCACCTGCAGGAAGGACTCTCATCTCTTCCACCACCACCACCTTCTAAAGAAGAGTTGCAGGCTGTGCCTTCCTGTAGTGCAACTAAGGTCATTTCAACCAGTGATAAACTGATAACGGATGCAGAGGTTCCTTCCTACACGCACCAGTTTCCAGATAAAATAATCCTTTCCTTTAGTGGACAAGCTCTTTCTTCTGTAAAGCTGTCACTAAACGCAGGCCAGGTCTCATGGCTGATTGCTAATGATGCAGTGTTCCAGCCTGAGCAAATGGAAGGCATAGCACCGATGGAATCAGCTGAGCAAGCTTGTTGCTTCAGGTAAGAAAGTCTGGGTCCTTGTCATCTTCCCAGCCCTTCAGCTTCATGCAATGGAAAAGCACCTTCATCGGTGCAATACATGGCAGCAATGGCTTCTAAGAAACTGCTGTATGAATGCCATCTGCTTGGCCCCAGTGCACGTGTGTTAGAGCTCTCTGCAATCTGTCAAGAAATGGGACTAGCTCTGGGCAAGATCCTGCATTCCTATGGGTAAATACAGATAAGAGTGATGGGAAGGGGGCCCTTGATTCCTAATAGTTCTGCTCAAAACAAGGCATATTTCTGGCATATTTCTGAAACAGATACTGGGTACTGAGATGTAATACATCTGCACTATTGCTAAAGGTGCAACAGGTTTTGATTACTTTCTTGAATGATATCCTGTCTATCACTAATATGAGATTTACCACTTAAAAAAAAAAAAAAAATGGTGGTGGTTGCCTGTGCTGTCTTGGTGAGTCTGGTGAGTTTCTGCAGCTGGACCAAAGAGGCCAATTGATTTGCAGCCATGAAGAAAACTGGTGCTCACGTTTCCTGGTGGGGCAGCCCTTCTCTATGTTAATGTGCCCAGCTCAGCCCTTGCCCAGCTGGAGAAACACTCCATGGTGGAGGTCCCCAGTCCCAGGTCTCCTGGTCTTGTCCCAGCACAGCTGTGAGGTATCAGTAAAGAATGGTGTAGGGGAAAATTGAGCTTAGGCAGACTGTAAATGAAAAATATTGGCTTATTAACAAACGCTTTGGGGGAAGTTTGAGAGACACAATTTAAAAAATACAAGTCAAATAGGTGAGTTCTCAAATGCTTGCTCAGCAGAACCTCTTGACCATAAGTAACTTTGCTTTTCTAGGCTGTAGCTATGGCAGCCGTGTACAAAACTGCCTTGCTATCCCCGATCTCTTCTCTAACATGCTTGCTTCTACCAAGTGCAGCTATGCTTGATTTAGATAGAAAGACTTGCAGTCTCTATATGGAATTCACTGTTTCTGCTATTAACCTTCTTGCCTTTTTATTGTTGAAGACGTGGCATCAAGTGGAGCAGGACAACCACCACTATTTTCTAATGTTTGGCCCTCTCTTGTCTAACTTAAATATTTGAAATGAGCTCAAAAATCTGCCATAAGCTGCTTCAATTTATGCGATGCAAGAAGAAAAAAAAAGGGAAAATGCTGCACCTTTCCTTTTCATGGGCTCTACTGTTAAATAACATCCAGGACTGTAACTCTATTAGCTGTGTCTTTGCACAGCAAGATGCAGGTGCTAGGACACTCACTGGAGCCCCAGTCCTGGTTGTCAGCCCAGCTGATGAGAAAAAGGCCATGATAACTGCTGCTATATCATCCCTCTGGATGATGTATGGCTGCAAAAAAATGGCTGACAAGCCAAGGCTGAACACACAGGTATAAATGTCCTTGCAGAAAGTTACACGAGTGCAGCACAGACTGTCATTACATCAGGCACCAATCTCAGAGTATTAATGAGTAGAAAAAAGAAAAATCCATTCTTAGGAAACAAAAATCCCTCAAAAGAGAACCTGATGTTGAGTAGAGGTTTTCTTCTTAAATCTTCTGGGGAAGGCAGGAACTAAATGCTCTGTTTTTCTTAGAGTGGAATGTTCCATTATGGATGGCATGCTGAAGAACTGACACAACAGCTCTCAAAATCTCTTAACAGCTGGGCAACTTTGAGGGTAAGACTTGAAATGCTGGCCACAGTGAAGACCTGAGTGCAGAAGCGATGAGGTATCCAATTTTTGCCCTCACCATTTTTGCCCTCACCAAGAACCAGGCAACGCGCAGCCAAAAAAAAAAGCATTTCTCCTCATCTGTGCAGATGGCTCCAGTACCACTGCCCTACCTGGGTAATTCTAGTTGCATACAGAATAAAAACAGAAAGCATCTCACTGCCTTTGTAGCTGTTCCACTAGTCCACATTCAAGGCTTAAGCAGTGGGCTCACTGCACGCTCAGAATGAATGCTTTGCCCCAGCTCCTGGCGCCAGACTGCTCCTACTGGGAGGAAGAGAGGTCACTGAAGCACACTATCCAGCATCACTGCAGCAACTTCGGAGGCCGGCTTAGAAAGGGTCACCACTGTCAAACACCATTCACTTTAGACTAGATGCAAGAAGTTTTGAAGCCTTTATTTAGTAGCAATTAAATTATTCAATTAACACTAACCTCCAGACAGCAGTTAAAATATTGTACAAGGAACAGCTCGCCCTCTAGAAGCTCTGTACACAGTTCAGTGTAAACTTACACTCTAAGATTGAATGTACCCCACTGAAAAGGGGTAAAGCAGCTGTGCACAGGAGGCCTCGCTGAAGTGCCTTCCTACCTCTGAGATGCATAAGGCTTCCTTCCAGGCAGCCTGCACTGTGCAGACAGTCCCACCGGGTCCCAGACTGATCCACTTCTTGCCTGTTTGCAGTGGTGCTGGGCACCAGAACTCATAGTGCATTGAACAGATTCTTTTCAAACCTGTTATTAGTGTGCAGTTGAAATCCAATCCATAGGTGTTTAAATGGCTCTTAATTCCTTAAACCATAAGGCTTGTAGCAAAAAAAGGAGAGCAAAATTCAAAACACACTGCACAAAATATTGAATAAATACCTCTGAGTAACGTCACCAGCTTAAACAACTGCATGAAGGCTCCAGAGATGGGCGCGCTTCTGGGAGCTCTGACCAGAGCTGAGGATTGAAGGGAGTTACTTCAGTAAAAGAAAAGTTGCTTTATGAAAAATTGCCTCTGTACAAAAGTGACACACCCTTCTTTGCTTTAAGAACAGAATATTGCAATGACTTTGTGTGCTTTTAGACATTCCCATGTCATAATAAATAAAACCAGTTTTGCTTGTGCCAATGTTATCTACGAAAGAAGGTATCCACAGAACAGCCAAGGTGTTCCGTTCCTCATACACCACGACCTAATATAGGTGTATTCAGCAAACCAGGCAGCTGTACATCATGGTGACTTGCTGACTTTGTCCACGTAGGACCCACTGCCAGCCAAAACAGTTCATCCCCTACCTAAAGGACCGCAGTCATGTACCGCCAGATTTACTGCGGAGATGCGTAATATTCTGTTGGATAACATGTTAGTTCTTTCAGGAGGTAAGTAAAATGAGGGAAAACATTAAAACAGATTAAGACTTATTTGTATCAGCCACAGGCTTCTTATTGCGTTTTAATAAATATCAGGCAAATTAAAGTAGTTTCTGTCCCAGTAGTTGCCAGAATAGAGCCAGTCCTGTGTGCCGGTGTGGGGATTGGGGCCTTGATGGAACCATCTGTAAGGAAACATTCAGCATGTTACCAAAGCTATCCATACATTGCTGTAGTTCAGAACTGCTTTGCTACATCTTCAGCTGTTGTTCAAAGTAATTACCATGAATGCAGGACTCCTCTTAGTTTAAAATCTTAAATACATGTTGTTTGCCAGCCAGATTTCCCCATTCCAACAGCACTCCAATGGCTCCCAGGTGACATTACTGATACCAACATTTTGTCCACTTGGAGCAGTCAAGACTCTCACATAGAAAGCATAGCTACAGTTACACTTCAAAGCAGTTGTGAACTATCATTTTGGCATGCATAAATAATAACAGTGTCTTCATGACATGTGAACACCACGAGCACTGCAGTCCTGAAAACAGAAAAACCATTTCCCCAGGATCTAGATTTCCCCCAGCGTCTCAAAGCCTTGTTTTGCAACATGCCAACTGAGAACAAGTGTGTTCACTACCCTCAGTGTAGATGAAACATCACCCCCAGGTTGCAGGAAAAGTTGTGGCTTACTAAAGCATGATGGTGTTGCATCCACTGTTAGCGCTGAGGGGCCAACATGAATGCCCAAAGGGCTGATCCAGCTGCACCAAGTTACATGCCAGCTTCTACGCTGGCTGCTCATTGACACACTGAACTCTTGCACATGCTGGTTTCTTCCCCTCTTCTCTTCTCCTCCCTCATAGGAAAGCCGTGCACTTACATAGCACAGTCAACAAAGTAGGGCGTCACCTCACAAGGCCGGACTGCTGGCAGTACCCCCAGTGGGGAGGACAGCCGTCAAAGCACCGTGGCACAGACGGTTGTCCTCCTTCCTCCTCACCCTATTTCTGGCAGTTACATCATGCAGCATAACTGAGCACAGCTTGCTGTTTGGGTCTGGCTCAATCTTTTACCTCGCAACAGCAGACCCCAGAGGACAAGCAGTAGTTTAAGTTTTTACCGTGTTTTGCCATGCTGTGTTGGCAGCACCAGGCAGCTTGCAAGCAGCTCTAGTGGTTAATATATGCTCCAGTGCTTCCTTTCTGCACTTCAGTGGCCACAAAGGCCAGTTCTTGCATGTATGCCTCACTGCAGCAAACACACTCACTGATGTAAATCATGCATGTGCATTTTTTTAACTCGCTTTATCTTTCTAGGTTTTCTGCTTTTCAGAGCAGAAATGAAAATACATTAGGATCAAATAAGGGCAATGAAGCTATAAAGGGTCTGGAGCGCCAGTCTTAAGTGAAGTGGGATGGTTCAGACTGGAGAAGAAGAGGCTCACGGGAGACCTTAATGCTCTCTACAACTGCCCGAAAGGAGGTTGTGGTGAAATGGGGGTCGGCCTCTTCTCCCAGGTAACAGCAATAGGACAAGAGGGATTGGCCTCAAGTTGCTTAGAGGGAGATTCAGGTTGGATATTAGGAGAAATTTCTTTTCAGAAAGTGGTGATGCAGTGGCATAGGCTGCCCACAGAGGTGGTAGAATCACTGTCCCTGGAGGCGGTTCAAGAACCGTATGGATGTGGCACTGGGACACAAGTTAGTGGGCACAGTGCAGATGGGCTGATGGTTGGACTAGGTGATCTCAGCAGTCTTTTCCAACCTCAATGATCCTGTGATTACAACCAACTGAAAGAGCAGGGTGGCCAGTAGGAGGCTCTGGCTAGATCCAAAAGATCTGAGATGCACATCAGAAATAATTCCTCATGTAACCATCACAGTGGTACAAATTGAACAGACAAACACCTGAATGGCACTTCTGCTCTGATTAAACTAACAGAAGCCAGTGAAAGTCCCTCACCCCTCGTGCCACACATGGTTTACTACCACGTAAGCTTTGCTTGGGATGTCTACGTCAGTTGCTCTGAAGTAACTGCTGTGTGTGCAGGCCCAGTATGCTTCCCAGCTCACATGGAGCAGCAGCTTATTCCAGAGTGTAAGCTTGCTGAGGATCAGGGCTACAAGGAATGACCTCACCCTGTAGCTTAGGGAGCTGTACACCCAGGATCCCACTGCTCTGCCTTCAGCACTGGAATGGATCAGGACAGTGTCCTCCAGTGGGAAATGCAGCTGTTTACATCAGTTTCCATCACACTTCATGTTAAGACCTGCAGGCTGATCCTCAGGGAGCAGCAGAAGAGTTGCCTCCGAACAAAATAGCTTTTTTTCCCCAGGCTCATCTCTACATTTAAGTGAAAAGGAGCTTTTCCTACATAATTTACGTTCATCTTTTGAAAGCAGTCACACTTGGCATTCCTACTAAAAAGATCAGACTCAAGAAAGGTTCTGCCAAAACTTTGGAGACACGCAGGAAAATAAGGAGTTCTTAAACGATACCAGGAATCTGAAGTCCATGCACTGACAACTTGCACAGTGCTGGCTCTACAGCAACTGGAGAACCTCGTGAATGGTTCTGCACTGACTACAGATCCTGAGAACCATTGCTTTGCACTGTGCTCTAGAAATTCCCTTAGTTCTCATATCAAGCTTTGAGCTTCAGATAGCTGGAGGAACACTGTAGTTATCCCTACCTCTTGGTGAAAGCCAGAACCAAAGCACACAGAGCCCCTGAATTCAGGGAAGGAAGAGGGAGGTGTGAGGCTGTTCGTCATGTAACACATCTACTCAGAAGCATTACAGAAAATGTTATTTTGCACCAGTTTCAGGACAAACAAACCCAAACACTGCAGGAAAGCAGGCAGAGGAAAAACAGTCAGACATGACCAAACCTGGGACTCTGGCATGATGAGTGACTTCATTTGCAAAAAAAAGAAAGATGTAATTTACAGTTACAAACAGACATTTTGAAGACATTTAATCCATGATGTTTGGGTGCATTAGCAGTTAGTAAGTAGGGAAGAGATGAAGTTTGCTTACTTGTAGAGAATTTAGCCCTACTTTTTTATTTTTTTTTTTTTTCTTCCCTCCTGTGAAGAGGCCACCGATCTTTTGTTATAAATTTGAATACGTTTTGCCTGGTCAAACAAGATTCATTTGATTGTGCTTTTACAACTTCTATTGAGCCAGTTGTGCCTGACAGCTCCCAGTTGACTTCCCTTTTAAGAAAAACAACTGGCAGCTGCCTTGTATGCTAACTTTTCCCTTAATTCCTCTAACTTTTATAGTTAGCAACAGTTTTGGAAAGGAAGAAATGACATGGAGAATGAGCTGATGGAGCCATTTCACCATCTTCAAAAAAAAAAAAAAAAAAAACAACAAACAAAAGCAAAAAACCTGCATGCTGCAGGAGTACAGTGTTGCCAGCACCCAGCAACTGATCTGAGAAGTTGGGGGCAATATGCCATCAAATTCACTGAAGGAATTGTTCATTCCTCGCTTTGGCCAAGCATACATATTAGAGGCATTACACATTAGTCGCCACTAACAACTGTCCTTACAAACAGCCATCAGCAGCAGCATCTTTTTCACACTTAGAAAAGGCAACACACTTCAATGCTTAGCGTATGAACACGGGTGCACAAGCACTGAGGGGGAAGGAACCAAGACCACATCTGACTCTGGGTGCTGCAGCCTGCACAGACCCAGACTGTATGTATCACAGCAGCATCACCAATGCTGAGATATCAGCTTCGTGCTGACACCATACACCACCAGCATGGGCTGGCAGTTAACCTGAATGTTCAACACTTTCATACCAAAACACCCATAGCATGCAGGCACACTGACCTCGTCTTCCAGTCTTCCTCTGACTTTGAACGATTTTTGCGGGCGGTCCTTTGCTTTTCTTCTAGCCTCTTCTTCTCCTCACTAGCCAGATCTTGAAGGAATAAAAACACACAGTCATTAATCCATCTGACCCAGCATTTTAATAAGTTATCCCTTTAAAAAGCATTCTACGTAACACAGAAGTGCATCTGTTTCAGCCTAAGAGCACAGCAATAGGGGGCTGGAATATTCATTTCCAAACATGAAGAATCAATCCTCTATTTTTATTTTTTGTTGTTGGAGCAGTAAGCTAGCATGGGTCACAGTCCAAAGCAAGCTTCCATTTAGCAGAAAGGACAGTTTCATTTTCCCTTCAGAACATCTTGAGGAAGACTGAAAAACAGATTATGTGAAGGGTAATCTCTTCCATATTTGAATCCTCAAGAAGTATTTCACATATAGCTCAGAAAGAAATAACTGAGATAACATCTGGAAGCCTATCAGCTGTTCCCGATTACCCTCCTGGATTCCAGCACTGCCTGTTACGGGTCTATCTGCTCCATCGACTTCACGCTGTTAGTACAGTGAAGGAATATGACCTGTTGCTAAAGGCACAGTTACTGCTCTTTGAATTTAGACATGCAAGGTACTGGGGATGCTGTGAACCAGCAATGTCCATCCCACTGGCTACACAGCAATCCTACAGTCAAGAAGTGGTTGCGGGAATTCAGTGATCTGCTCTTTTTTTGTTGTTGTTGTTATTTATAAGCCTCCAAGCAGCAGTTGCCACTTCTGAGGAAAACAACCCACTAAAGTACAACTGTGCTGTAGTACACCTGCATCACTGTTTTTCACATCAAATCTCAGATTATTTATCAGAAGTAGTCACAGTTATTGTGCTATTATGTAGGTGAAACTGATTCAGAGGTTTCATGACTTACCCCTCAGTAAGGCAGAAAAAGCAAAATGCCCCCTGCTTTTAGTCTACAAGTGTAGCCACCTTGCTTTAAAAGTAAAATACTGAAGAGAAAGAGGCAAAAAAGGGCTGGGGGAGGTTGTTCCAAACCACACTCAAGTATTTAGCACCAAGTCGCGTGTCAGAAGACTAAAAGACACTTAGACTCCATGGTACCTACAGTAACAATCTCTCTGAAGTTTCTAAAAAGCATACATATCTCATAATGCATTTCTAATTCACTATCCCAAGACAACAAAAGTGTTCAAATTCCCAGTGAGGAATGTTTCTGCGTCATACACATTTGTCACTGACGTCCCAACTTAAGTAGCTTTGACTGCATTACTCAGAATTGTCACTTCAAAATGTTCGTTTTGCTCTGGTTGTTGAAAACAGAAGCTGACAAGTTCACAAATACTTTTGACGCTTCAAGACTCTCAGTCTCCAGCTATAGAGCTGGACAACAGAGCATAGCAAAGGTTCTAAAGCTAAAAAGAACACAGAATAGCATAGGGTCTAAGATTCCAGCTTGTACAGAAGTACGTAAGTGGGCAAGTGGTGCGGTGCATTCCTGGCTAGGAGCTAAGCCACTCATTCACTACAGTCCAGGATGGAAGAGAGAATTAAAGAGCAAAAGCATGAAAAACTCATGGGTTGGAATTAAAGACAGTTAACCAAGTGAAGGGAAAGAGAATGAAAAAGGAATGCAAAGGCAATGACTCATCACCACCCACCAGTACCACCTATGCCCAGCCAGCCTTCAAGACAAGATGCTTTGGAAAAACATCCTCCTGTCAAAGTTCTACTGTTGAGCATGTTAAAGGCACTGAACACCTCCTTGTTCAGCAGCAGCTAAAACAAGAGT